GTGTGAGGAGTCCTCCCCTGAGGAGGAAGGAGTGGCAGAGACGATGTGTGATGAACTGACCACAACCCCCATTCCCCATCCCCTTGCGCCGCTCAGGGGGAGGAGGTGGAGAAAATAGTGAGTGAAGTTGAGCCCGGGAGGAAGGGATGGGTGGGGGGAAGGTGTTGTAAGATTTGGTTTTATTTCTCATTTCCCTACTCAGTTTTGATTGGCAATAAATTAAACTGATTTTCTCCAGTTGGAGTCTGTTTTGCCGATGATGGTAATTGCTGAGTGATCTCTACCTGTTCTTATCTCGACCCACGAGCTTTTTGTTATATTTTCTCTCCCCTGTCCAGTTGCGAAGGGGAGTGATAGAGTGGCTTTGGTGGGCACTTGGCATCCAGCCAGGGTCAACCCACCACACATGGTAGCATACCTGTGTTTGGCCGCCAGTAAATAAGAATAGCTGCATACCAGAATGGTAAGTAAATTCCGAGACTGTGCAAAACACAATAAAAACTTAGAAGCAAATTCCCAGCTTCATTATGTTTAAGCAATTATTTGCCTGAAATGCTACCCCAGAAGAGGTACATGATGTACTACTATAGATTTCTATGTGTCAATAGAAGAAACAGAGTCAAAGTTGATATACTCTTGGACACTAAAGTTTTCTTTATATAGGCATCATCTTTCTGTTTTCACTAACTGGCCTAATTTTCTGTTTTGGCAGTTATTGTTTCACATAGAGTCTACACTTTTTTTTTTTTTTTAAGACCTAAAGAATCAGTATATTTCCTTCTTTAACCTTCGAGGACTGTTTTCTGATTGGGAACCATGGGATGTCAGAAAGAAGTGACCTGTTTGTTGAATTTATCGCCATAACTTCTAGTCATCTTCCTTTAAACGTTATTAGAACTGGACACTTAGCTTTAGATGACAGACTTATGGCAATTTTTTCATACAGTTGTAGTTTGTTTTCGTCAATTTATGTTGCTTAACACTTCTACCAGCTGGAATTATTTTCCATGTCTTTCAGGCAATTCTGTTGTTTTGGATGGTTGGTTCCTTTGCTAAGCTTTCCATTAGCTCTCAGAGTATTTTCTGTGGCATTTCAGAGTTCATGAATGAGGTAGCTTTGGTGCTTTCATTTAAAGGAGTGCTTTTTATAGACAGTCTTGGGCAGTGTCTGAAAAAACATCTTTTGTTTAGGCAATGCAAACATGGTTCAATGCCTTCTCTGTTTTTTCTGTTTCCACTTCAGTGGCAAATTGTTTTCTCAATGCTTTTTGGTTTTTGGTGTCATGTCCGTCCCCCCCGCCCCGAAACTGATTACTGCTTTGAAAATACAACCAGCCTTTCCGTGCTGTATTGTACTTTGGAGTGTCCTGACTCTAGCCCTTATCTTTTTTTGGTTTTTAATTTTTTTTTTTTTTTTAACAAGTTGAATGGATCTGTAATGTGTCTCCAACATAAAAAAATAGGTTGTTGTTCAGCAGTAGTACTGACATTCCTGTTTAAAAAAACTTCTACCAATTATATTTATACAAAGATACTTCTCTGGAAAAAGGATACCTATACAATATTTTCAGGGAGTAATACTTAGATTTTGTAGTTACAGTGAATACAGAAAATAACCAGAGTTATCAATAGTTCTTTCAGGACAGAGGAGTATCTTTATTCAGCATGTAGAATATATGGTATGTGCTGTTCAAACGTTAACTAATGTTTCAGTCAGGGCCCTATTGGTTTTGTCTAAAGCGTTATGCTTAACTTAATCTAGTCCAAAGTCGTGTTCACATTTAGATGAATTGAGGTATATCTTTGTATCTAGAATGGTATGGTCTTGATCCCAGGTTAGGATCGCCGGTTGCTTCTGTCTCTGAAATAATAAACAGTAATGTCTGTCTTTCTCTTAGGTGGTTGGTCAGTTATGCTATTGCTAAGGCACTAGATAACTTATCTGCCTGTCCCTTGTGCCAGGTACTGCCTGTGATTTATACATGATAGTTGACAACCTGACAGCATTTTTGTGGAGCAGTTGCATCTTTTTTTTTGATGTAGTGGGTTTGATCCATCAGGTTTTATTGCTAGCTTGTCATTTTTCATAATCATCTTGGATCCTTTAAACACTGAAAACCAAAGAGCTTTATAGTAAATAAAATTTATTTTTTTAAGTTTTAATCCAGATAAGTCCAATTTCCTTTATAGCCTCAGCTGTTCCTGTAGGAAATAACACATCAGTGAAGTTTTATCATACAACAGAAATACACGTTTGGACTTTATTCATAGAGTCTTGTTAAGATGTAGAAAAGAAAAGTGCTGATTGAATTTTAGATATGCAAATCACAGTACTTCATGCGAGCAGTTTTCTGCAGTATGTTTTTACTGAGGCCCTGTTTCTATTAAATGTGCTATTACAGGAATGGCCTAACTGAAAAAGTTAGGTTGAATATGTGAGCACTTAAAAATTAATGACTTCTAAATTAATTACAAAATTATCATGTTGTCTTTAAGCAAAGGTTCTTTGGTGTCCAGGAGTTTGCATCCACAGAGGTTCTGTCTACTTCTTTCATATTTAAAAATAATATTTTTACATCGGCAGAAACAACAAATGTGATCTTTCCACTTGGTAATGTGTCTTCCTTTATTCTAATGCCCAAAATTATGTCCCTTATTTAGGAAAAAAATGTTACATGTACTTATTCCCATTTACACACCCAGTTCAACTCTTACTGAAGTAAATATTAGCTCTTCGGTGTCTACTGAATGTAAAGACAGACCATCAAAAACTCCTAACTCCCAGTTTCCCAGTGGTGAGTGTTTTGCTTATGGCAGCAACTTTTGTAATTTGGAAATCAGCAAGCTTTTAAAAAACTTTGGCAAATATGTGATGAAGCTTTCGAAAATGGGATATTATTGCGGAGGCAGGAAAGTGTAGTCAAGAAAAGTAGACATCAGTGTGCCATTGATAATGATTTTAATGTGTTTTAATATGTTTCACTACTACTGCCCAGTATACTTATGGAAAAAGAGGATGACATAGCGTAAGAAGATCTGTGTTATCTTTGAGGATAAGTAGTAGCTTGGAGTTCAGAAGCTGCAATAGAATCATAGAATCATTTATGTTGGAAAAGACCTTTAAGATCATCCAGTCCAACCATTAACCTAACACTATGAAGTCCACCACTAAACCAATTAAGGGTAGAGTAATAACTTCATGTTTCAATATTACAAAGAGAGAGACGTTCTAGGAGAACCTTCATACAGGCCTGTTTGGTGTTGGTTTGCTTTGGTTTGTTGTTCTTCACTGGCTTCGGAACAAATATTGATACTCTGGGGTTCTCTGACAGAGGTCTACAGTGAATGGGGAAATGAAGGAATTTTATTGCTATGACACACCACATAATAACTTAACTGACATTGAACGCTTCTTGGCAACAACTAGTTGCAACATAGTTTGCTAAATGTTTAAGCCATTGCATCAGTGAGATACTTCTACCATTTCTCAATTAGCTCTCCCACCCTCCTAGCATCCTGGAATGCTCAAGAACAGATGAATAGCTTAAGTATGCCAATAGAGAAATATTTGACCTAAACCCCTCTTTTTTGAGTCATTGCCTTCTGAATTGTATTTGGATTTATTATAATAAATTACGACTATTTAAAATGTGCTTTTTATGTCATCTTTTACATTAACTTCATTAAAGGATGCAGTACCAGAAAATCAAGAGAGGTGACGTGAGTCATAAGATGACTGGGCTTTAAAAATAAGTGTGAGGAAAAAAAAAAAAAAGGCGAGAGAAGATTAATAGGTCAGGAACAGGTCAGGTTTTTATTAAAAACTAGCATTGCTAAAAAGCGAGTGATGGCCGGCATACTGGACTGACAACCATGTTCTTAAATATAATGCTTTGGGGGGGGGTAGGGGGGGAGCGGTATTTATATTTTATAAGCTATTGGTAAGTTACAACCAAGCAGAGAAGACGACTGAAAAGGACTGTGAAAACCATTATATTGGGGGGAAAAAAATCTATTTCCCAAATTCAGTCAAGATGATGTGAACTTAAAAAAGATAAAGTGAAGGCAGAAATGCATATCTAGCTTTTGTTCTAGTTCATTATCTAAAATCAAGCCCATATTTTCTGATTCCTAATCCAGTTGTCATCTCTCAGCTGCAAATCTCTCAAGTTTCTTTTCTGGCATACTGGAAATGTTCAGCTATATCAGAGTGGTCTGGTATTTATGACTGGGAAGTTTTTGATTTTTATGAAGTCAGCTGAATCAAATAAAAAATTTAAAAAAAAAGGAATATAAGAAAATACTGAAAATGACAAAAGACCATTCCTGTATCACCCTCCAGTAAGTCAGTTCTTGAGAGGGTTCATAAAAATATTTTTATTTATCTGGAAAGCGTTTTTTCTTTTTTTTTTTTTTTCTCCAGAATGGTGAGTGTTGTTACTTAGTTTTCACACTTGTTCAGAAGTCATCAGTCTTTATTTAATCACTGGTTTATGTTGGCTCAGTTTGCTGAGTTTTTACTTCATTTAGTCAAATATTTTTTTAGTTGTGCTATACATTGCTTTGCCATGTGTGGTGGCATCATTAGAATGATTAGAATTAGAATTGTTCTTGGTGCCCAATCCTGCACATTGTATGAAATATAGTATGAGCTTTAGGTTCATTGAAAGGTAGCAAAGTGGTGTATGCTAGGAAATATTTTAAGGTCAAGTATATTATTACTTGTGCTGCTGCAGAGTCCTAATGTATTGACGGGCTAAGATGCTATTTATAGCTGCTTCTTTGAAAATGTAGTAAAGATTTCTTCTGCAAAGTGTGACATAAGGTAGTTGTTTTGGCTGTTTGCATTAGGTAATTGCTTCCAGTGGCTCAGTTTAGATCAAGTAGTCAAGCTAGACAGATGCTAAATGCTTTTAGTTCTCCTATTTTTTTGCAAATTTAAAATATCAGTCAGTAAATACTTTGGTTTTTATTGTGGCTAATGATGTGATTTTTTTCAGAGCGTGCTAGCGAAAGCATCCATCAACTGAAATATGCCTTGGAGGAAAGACAGTTTGCAAAGGGTGAGGGTGAAGTTGGATTTGACCAGTCCTCTGTGGACAGGGGAAATGGTGACAGTGGGAATGCAGCCTGGCAGGAACTGCAGCACAGTCATGCAGGTAAGACTACTCTGGAAGCAAAGAGTTTAAAACTTGCTGGAAATTATACTAATTTCAATGAAAAAAGTAAATATTTTTTGGTTATAATGTTTTTTTCTCTCTTCCTAGTTAATCAACTTAAAATTTTGTTGCAACATCAAGAAAGAATGGAAAGTGAAGTCTCTCTGTCAAGGAAGAAGATGTCGTTCTGTGTATGTTTCTTCTTGTTTCTTTTGTGTTGTCTGAATGGACAGCATGCATGATGAGATCAATTTTCTAGTATCCAGGAAGAAAAAGAAGCACCAAATCGTTTTTATATTCTGAAATGTAGGAGATTCCTGAGGCTATGGCCAGAACTTGGTATGCTTATGACCATAGCAGAAGAAAAATGAATTTATAATACAGGATTTAGACTTTTCTCCTCTTTTTGTTGACCATGCAGTGTGGGTCACAGTCCGCATTGCTTTCAGCTTTCTCATCTTTTTCTTTCCACCAAAAGTTCATTCTTTTTGTTTTGGAAACAGTTGGGATTGACTACATGGACAAATTTCTGTAAAAGCAGCCTCTGTTTTCCTTTGACTGTAAGGATTCTGAAAGGCCGCTTTATGCTGTAACCATGCTTTTTCTTTAGAGGATTAGAGATGTTCATGTAACAACAGGTCTTGCAGCTCTCTGCCAAAATGCAGTGGTCTCTGTCAAAGTTAGTTTATACCCTTAAATGGGCTTCTCAGGTTTAGCCTTCTTGCAGCAGAACTACGCCAAAGTACGTGCAATGGACAGTTCAATTACAGAGCAACTGCTACATACTAGTATCCCTATAGGAAAATAATTCAAAGGCATTGTTCCATTTTTTTTCTTTTGATGGCCTCCACTGGCTACTTTTGCTTTATACTAAGCAAGACAAGCAACTCATTGCCATCAAAGTTGAGGTAGCAGCAGAACAGTCTAAAGCCTATCTTCCTGCTGTGTTGCTTCGAGCCTGTGTAATGAGCCTAGCTCTTCTGTTCTGACATTGAGAAATTTTATTTAAAGTTCAACTTTTCTGAATGTTGTAAAATCCACAAGTTTAGTCTGATTGTCCTGCTAGGTACTTTTGCCTCATAATGGTGCAGGATAGAATTGGTGTTTTGTAGCTCAAGGGAATGGTGCATCATTGGTTGATTTTGACATGACATGAATCAGTATCAGTTTGTATTTAGTCTTTGGAGGGGAGGGAAAGCATCTTAATCCATCTTTGTCAAAGTTTTCTACTTATAGTGGGAAATTTTAGTAGAGTGGAAAAATTCAGAAGACAGGATACTTTTTCTAAGAAACGTGATAGTGCTTTCAGGAAGTGGATTAAAGGATGGAGGAATAAACAGAGAAAAGATGGGAATTTACTGTATTGATAAGGCATTGTCCCATGTCTTCCTCTTGAAGTTTCCAGTGAGAGGGATTCTATGAAGTCGTGGCCTTATTCTCCTTTCCAGCTGTCCTCCATCTGCTTGCTAACCAGGATGTGAAAGTGTTCTGAAGACAAAGTGTAAAGCTCAAAAAATGTGGAAGTACAAAAGTGCGCGCACACACAAAAAAAATCCCAAACCCCTATAAAATACGAGCTTGTCTCGTGGTTTGCTGGAAACTGCAGAAATGCTTCCTGTATAAGAAGAATCAGATTCCCCAAAGGTCAAGGAAAGCAAACAGATTATGAGTAACGTTAACCTTTTGCTTTGAATTATGCTGAAATAGCTGATGACTACTGAATAGTAGATGACTGCGTGTGTCTATAGCTAAATACAATATTTCACAGAAACTATACTGTTTAGTAAACTTTACAGGATTTCATACATATAAATAACATTGTCTTAAAATTCCCTTCTCTTGCCCATTGATAAAAGTTGCAATAGATATCAAATGAGTATGTCTTGCCTTTGATTACACCCGGATGTTTGGGCAGAGATTGTCCTTTTGCTCTCTACCTCATCATCTGAGGTCAAGGCCTGGCGAGATTGCTTCATACAACAACTGCAATTCTACAAACCGGGTCTTGGCTAACCTAACTGCACCCAGCCTGGGTTCCTGACACTGTTGTTATAGCTGTGACTGATTCCTGTTTCCCATGATTTCTTGCCAGTTTACAGAGCAGCAGATTTAAGACTGCCAGCAGGAGAGCGTCTAATTCTGGGGTTTAGAGGTTTAAAATTTGAGGCATTCTGGAAAAGTACAAGGTGGGCCAAATTATTTGGGGTGTTGGCAAAACTATTTGTCACCGTGTAGAATGCTGGCCTCTAAAACTGCCAAGCATTTATATTTTATAAACACTTGGGTTTATATGGTAAACTTTTTAATATTAAGAATGCAAATGTGAACAGCATTTCTGATACTTGAGCATAAATGTTTGGTAATTCATACTGATCAGATGTGTCTTTCCGTTCTGATTTTAATATTTGGCCGACTTTAAATATATGCCTCCCTTGACCTCTGTTCTTTCACGTTATGTTTGCAGAATATTAATGAAAAATTCCCATATTAATTATAATTAATTGATAACAATTGTGTAGTAAAAAAAGGTAAAAAGAAATAGATCACAAATTATCTATCAGGCATTTGCCCCATGAACGGGCAGGTAGAGGCTTCTAAATAAAGGAATATCCCAGTGATGGTGCTGTGAGTGATTAAGTTGTGTTAAGAAGTCCTCTGTTCTTTTTCTGTTGAGGAAAATATACTATGTATTGTTTTCCTTGTAGTGAAACCATTCTTTAGCCTTCTTGTATACATTACACCAATGTTTCTCAAGTTTCTTAGGTTAAACATTAGCACTGGTTTTCAGTGAAAAAAAACTTGAGTAGAAATTGAGTTTTTCACATTTTTGAATGCTGCTGTGGTGTCAGGGAGGCAGCTGGAGGTCGCAGCTGCAAGGGGGTCTATTACATTTTCAGAAAAGAGGGAGGGATGAATAGGAGCCAGCGGAACAGAAAGATGAATTACAAATATTATCATCACTACGTTATATATACTTTAACAAGTGTGATTCATTTTGTAAAACTTTATAAAGTAGCTGAGATTAACAGACATTAAAGCAAGGTGAATTCTGAGTCAATAGAACTTGGAACTTAAGTGCACTGAGCCACGTGGAATACATTGCAAATTCAGGTCCCTTCTCTAAATGTTTTTCTAGATGGTTCTGGAAGACCCTGCATTTGTCTCCACAATCATAGTTCCAGATTTCTTAAGAGTCCTTCCTTTAATACAGCCAATATTTATATTCGGTATAATTTGACAGGAAGGCTTTTGTTGCTAGAAACCTGCCTCTCACTCTGGTTAGTGGATTTTATTTTTATCTTTAAAGGTTGGACAGGGAATCTTAATGCCTTGTTGGCAGAACCTGTAGATAAGGTAACTAGTAGATATAATAGCTAGCCATTAGTAGCTTGGTTTGCGTTTTGGGGGTTTTTTTGAATGGTTCATGTTTCAAAAATATTTAAAAACAAAGATGTAGATTTCTGAATCTTTTAGGAGATTTAGGAGTCCAACCGTTCAGTTAGTTCCTGAAAATTACTTCTACGATCTTTAAGACTTTAAGTATATTTGAGAAGCATATAATAGAATATTTTTGCACAGAAAGGTATGTTTGCTCACCCAAGATCACAGATGTTAGAATTGTATCAGTTTCAAAACTAGCTAGGGATCTGCATAACGATACTTGTTTTCATCCAGAATAGTGAACTAATGCTAGAAATGTACCTGTTGTTCCTCTGAGAGGACCGCATTAACAACGCTGTATGAATTTTGTATCCTTACTAGAAAAGAATGCAAGGAAGGGAGATTTACTCTATTACAGATGGAGTAAAACTGTTCAGTAAATTGGTGAAAAACACAGACATCTTTTGTATAAGAGGATATATGTTCTACTGAGAAACATGTCCTAGTTTGTCTGTCTTAATTTTTTTTTTTTTCAAACAAACAAACAAAAACATTGTGGCTTGTATTGATACACTTTCTTTCAGCTTCAGGAATTAAAATAGTTAATGTATGTCACCTAGCATGAGACTATACTTAGTTCTTTCTGTGGATGAAATTAGCAATAGTGGAATACCAAACTAAGGTAGTAAACCAATGTTGAAATACATAAAGAGGACGAGTGAGGATCTGATAGTAGCTGATTTTTTAAAAATTTGCAAGTAGATACTCCATTAAGTATTTTTGTGATTATTCAAAGGCAGTTTCATTGCAGATTAACATATTTGCGTTTAATACTGTTACTCAATTAAAATTATTTTAAAGTATGTTATACTTCATTAGAACTAAATAAATTATTATGCTATAAAATATTTGTTATATCAACTCTAAATAAGTCCTTTTTATTAGATGGACAAGGACTGTTAGTTACTAATAGGATCAAAGAGAGGCTGTAGTTTTCAGGAAACTTTCATTTATGATTTTAAGGGCATTTTAATAACATCTATTTACATTCTTAATCTGTACTGTATTCTTAGGAGTAAATATTGTAAAGTTATAGCGATTGTGTTTTTCACATTTTGCAAAAAGTTTAATCCCTGTTTAAATCTCGCTGAACAAGGCAGAGATGTAATTGTTTATCTCAAATGGGCAAGGATTCCCTTCATTACCCTCTTAGTTATTTGTGAGGCTATCAAAAATTTTACCTATTTATAGGGTAATCAGAAAGGCTTTTTAGAATTGTCTTTTAAAATATCAGTAATCAAGTTCTTTGATAAATGTAATATCTATTACACAGTTTCCTGTGTTTCTATGGAGGTATTAAAATTGCAGATGTAGCAGTGTTTTTGTAGCAACTGCTAATGAACATTTAGAGGAGTAGCCTTTGATGCATATCCACAACTCGTTAAAATTCAAGGGATTTCTATATTCATTTCACAGAGAAGAAAATACCCTCTTTTGTTTGTCTAAAATGGATGATACAGTTAAGTAGCGGTATGAATTTCATGTACAAATCGATTTGTGGATATGATTTAATCCTGCTTTATAGATGTGGTTAGTCAAGCATCTGTATATTTTGGCAGAAGTGACATACTTACTTTTCATATTAAAGATTTTAAGTTCTTACTGTTTCTCCCTTCCTCATGATCCAGTACTTGGTGACTTTTTATTAAGTGTACATAGTATTCTGTGTGCCAGCAACATCTTACTGCAATAAATGGAAAACGGTAAAATAACACATACTATTCTTTACTTCCTTCAGAAACCACCAGAAGCTGCAACTGGAGACTTACCAGCCGTTTCTGATCTCGTTCCTATAATCAATGATCAGTCACAGTACATTAACCATTTAGAAGCAGAAGTGAAGTTTTGCAAGGTATTAGACAACATATTTTACCTACTAAAACCCTGGTCCCCTAAATACGAAGAATTGCTTTAAAACCAGCTTACAGTTAGTCTTGAGATTGATTGTTGTAATGACCAAAACTGAGCCAAATGCTGTTCAGTAGATATTGAGCCTTACGATACAGCATGGTGCCTCTGTAGCGTTTAAGGGTCTTCAAAGACATTTTCACTTCATATCACAAATACAAATAAGCAACTTTTTTCAAGAAGTATTTTTGTAGCTTGAATTCCCATATAACGAAATCTGTCTTTTAAATATTCTTGTTCTCTCTAAAAGGGTTAAAATAGTTGAGAATGTTTATCTAGACTTTTGGTCTCAAGATACATTTAAATGTTGGTAGCCATCACAAGGAGCCTTTTACATGCAGTTCCTGTATCCTGTAGGAGGAATTGTCTGGGATGAAAGATCGAGTACAAGTAGTTGTACTTGAAAATGAGGAACTCCATCAGAAACTGAAATTTTTAACTGCGGAACATTTGTTGAGAGAACAAACTCTTCTAGATGCCTCAGTAAGTTTTTATTTTTCTGTTGCTGTTTTAATCAGTGTTCAGGGACCTGATTCTTTCTAAGGAAGGCTATATAAATGGTTATCTGCAAACTGAATTTTAGTCAAAATTTAATGAGAGTTTGTAAACATGGATTTCTGTGTATAGCATCATTATCGTAGGTTGCCAACCTAAATAACTTGTGTATTGGTTCTTATATTCTATGATAATGAAAATTCTAAGATTCAATACTTATATAATTAATATTTGTTTAAAAAAACAGCCTACATAACTGAAGCATTAATATTTTTATTTTAGGCAAATACTCAGAACTCCTGGCCTGTAGGTGTTAATGACTGTAGCATGCATCAGCCTGTCACCCCATCACCAGCACATAACAAAGAGCAGGCTTTTGTTACAGCAGCTGTTGGAGAAATCGAAAAATGGCATGCAGAACTGGTTGGTATTAACTTTCTTTGCAGAGTCATACCTTTGCAAAACCTTTTGGTGCTTTGTTGTTGCTGCAGTTCTGATGATTAATTTTGTAACAGACATACAGGAGGAGTTTTGGTTGACTGAACCTTAATCTGAGGTCAAATTTTATTTTCTTAAACCTCATCTTCTCATTATATCCTAATTAATATTATTATCCAGTTAGACATGATGGCAGGTTGTATCTGCAGATGTTGACTTCCCAGAGATAAGTCTTGTTTTAAGAATGTCCTGTCAGTGATGGCTCTACTGTACTTTGGAGATTCTGGGCAGTAACATAACACACAAGCAGGTGGGAACTAGCTGGTGTCATTTAGGCAGCCCTCCAGGCAAGCTCTTCTGCAATGAGCCTTTTCGCTCCTGGAGCAGTGCAGGCTGAGTAAGGTACAAAAGTCACTTTGTGCAGTCTGTATTCCCTGAGCTGAATTACACATTTTGTGCTTTTAGAGATACAGAAGAGCCCTAGTGATTCAAAGATGATGCTGTCTCTATCCTGTATTTTTAGTTTGGGAAGATATTCTTAAATTTTTTTCTCTAAATTAATGGGCTAGCATTGCTATCTTTTGGGAAAAACATGGTTAACTGAAAGTTTTGATGTGTTTTATCCATGTGCATGTGTGTGCTGTGGAATTTAAAGGGTACTTTAATTCTTCAAGGTAATTATATGTATTTATTAATTTTTCCCAGCAAAATATGTTTTTGTTGGTTTTGTGCCTCATCTAGAGCTGAACACCTCTTCAGTGATCTCTAATGCCTGCAGTTGTTTGAAAGCTAGTTTTTACAATAACTGCACTTTTCCTTCATCTGCCATATTTAAAGCAAGAGAATCATATTGATTGTGACTGCTTTCGAAGCATCATAGTGAGCTAAATTTCTGGCATTTTATCTGGTTGGTTATCACCATTGTGTTTAACATTGGTGTAGCTGATTAATATATATAGCTCTTCACCAGGTAATAAGAGTAGCTCACTGTGTTATAAATGAATAGCTTGTCTACTTGAAGATCTTCAGAATTCCTCTTTATTTCTGCTGACTTGTGGGAGAGTAAGAGCAAACTCGAGACAAGATCATCAATTTATGTAAATCATTGCAGAGGGCTGCAGTTGGAGCTGAAGCAATTTGCCATATGAGGATCTGGCAAGATGTATAGAAATAAGAAAATGAGAGGATTGTTCATTTTGTAGACTTCCACAAGTGTGAAATATTTAGATTTCTCTGACACTGGTGTTTCAACAAGTTTATATCTTCAGGGGAAAAAAATGAATGTGGCTAATGTCTAGATTTATTTGTAAAGACAGCATCATGAAGAAAGCAAAAGACACTTGTTTTCTCCCATCTTTTCTAAAGGAGAAACTAAAACTTCTTTATCAGGAAAAAGTCAATATCCTTGATGCTCAAGTACAGTCTTTAAGGTAAAGTGAAATGTTTATTTTTTTTTCTTAAAATTATTGTTAATAAATTATCACTTCATAGCAACATGAACCACTCTTAAATTTAAATTTAAGTTAGGGAATGCCTGAATGTTGTGTTTTCTGATAGTGTCCCTGAAAGCTGGTTTTACATGAAGTTTTCTCAAATATAAATGTAGGAAAAGTGAATGTACTGCTGTAATGTAGCAATATAATGTAGCTATAATGTAGCAACATAATGTTGCTATTATGTAGCAACATTAGCAATATATAAATTTTATGAATTCAATTGAGTTATTGTCAGGGAGGCCCCATCCCTGGCAACATTCAAGGTCAGGTTGGATGGGGCTCTGAGCAACCTGGTCTAGTTAAAGCTGTCCCTGCTCACTGCATGGGGGGGTTGGGCTAGATGACCTCTAAAGGTCCCTTCCAACCCAAAGCATTCTATGATTCTATGATTGTATTTATAGAAATTACAACTTGATATAAAATGTCTTTATTTTCTTTACCCTTTTTCTTTATAGAAACATCATGTCTGTTAAGGTAGACCAATCAAAGAAAAAAAGAGAAGTTAAATTTTAACTTTTGTGAGCTCTGCCATAATTAGTTTTCTTCTACTAATATTTTATATTGCAAGTTTTAGAAGTCTTAAGCATCGAACTTGTTTAGACCACATAATGATTTTGGAGCAGGAAAACATGGTTTTGAAGCATGCAGGCAGTGTTTCCAGTCATGTAACCTGCATATCTCTAAACACAAAAATATTTGAAAATAAGTCCTCATGTACTCCTCAAAATATTAAAGGTTTGAATAGGTAGCAAACTATGGAAAAACAGAGGTAGAGGCAGCCACTTTATGATTTGGTGTTCTGGAATAAACTTCCCCCTGTACACTTGTATTCATGCTGCTGCTGCTGAATCTGTTTAATTATGTTTTTCCCTAAATAAACTGTGGTTTCATATATATGAAAATTCTGGACTTTTGTGTGTGTGTTAAAAAAGAAAAGTTACTGGTAGGGAGACAAGTTTAAATATCTCATCTGCAGTGGTGAAATCTTAAATATGCAAAGCCAGTTGTGCTAGTGAAAATAAAGGAGGATCTTAAATTTCAGCTATGTAGTAAATGTTGGGTTCTTTTTTTTTCCCCCACTTGGCTTGAGGTGTAATATACACTCAGAAATAAATATTGGAGGCTAAAATAGTCTGAAAATTTCTACAAGTTCAGTATTCAGCCTCTTGATTTCTCCTAAGGGGCATGATCTTTCAAACTGTAAGTTCTGTAAAGCACTTGAGCATTTGCTAAATTTTAATTAAAGTGGGAAATTACATCGCTTTCAGTGGAACTATCTTTATTTTTAACGCTAAGCATGAATTTATGTAGGACTTGCTGATTTCTGTCCAAGATTTCCTAACAATAGGTCTGTTGTACCATGACTGTTTAAGAATATATGCAGACCAAATTCTGTTCAGGTTACAGTGGATTATATTTAATAGACCAACTACTAAAATTGGAAAAAGTGCACAGAAGATTTCCCAGATGGAAATAAGCATTCATGCAGTGTACATATCATGTGCACAGTAAATCCAATACAACCAGAATGTGTCAGACTTACTAAGTGTATGCTGCCCAGATGGCCTGCATAACAAACCAAAAGCTTTGGATTCATTGCACAATTTGTCAAATTGATCTATATGTGCACAGTGTGCGTTTGTCTGGAACTTCCTGATGTCAGCGTTCCTACCGCTTGCGCTCTCCCTGGCCTAACAGATGCTCAGAAATTCTGGAGAAAATTCTTCAGAGCACCTGGTAAAAAATTCAGAGACAAGTAGAAAACTTACCCTGTTCTTCTGGAGGTGTGGTTGACCTCAAGTTTCTGCGTATCACTCAAAGCAAATATGCTGAATACATCTGGATTTTGTCTAAGGAGCATAGGGGACTTTATCTTTCTACTGTAACTTTACAGTTAATTTGAGAGTAGAGAAGAAATGTGAAGTTGATGATATTATTAGCAAGAAAAACAGAAAAAATATCAGATGGGGGTATTGAAATATTTATACATATGATAGTGTTTCTTGCTAATGAATCCTTTACTCTGTTCAGACAATATATAAGCCTACAAGTTTTATCTAATAATTTTCTGTGTAACTTCACTATTTTCTGATACTACAGAGGGAAGGGACAAATTAATATAACTTTGTTTTGTCTATTAATAATTTTGATTGGGCAATTCAACTATTATTTCTCTGTTAAAGTCTTCCTTAGGTTGCTGAAATGTGTAAAAATAATGTTCATTACAGGCATTCTTACAGTTCTTTTTAGGTTGCATCTCTAATTATATAATGCATATAAATAGAACTTGCAGAAAAGTTTGATTGTTCAAATAATATTTTTTGTTTCTTCTTTCTAGAAAAGACCTTTCAGAATCTCAGAAGACATGCAAAGATTTGGAAGGAAGGCTAAAACACCAGAAGTCACTTGTTTCAGCCACAAATTCTAGTCGGGTTGGTGGTCTGTGTCTGAAATGCGCACAACATGAGGCAGTTCTTGCACAGACTCATTCTAACGTTCACATGCAGACCATCGAGAGAGTAACAAAGTAGGTTTGGGGGGTATTTACTTTCTCATTGAAAGTACAGTTGCTTACACTAAACCATGTAAGTCTCAATGTGTTGGGTTGCATTTATAGAGAGATGTGCGCTTGCAGAACAATGTAGTCCTAAGTTGAAGTTATAATGCTAAAATCAATGGCAGAATATGAGTGTAGGTCCCAACCACTTTGAAATCCATGGTAGTTTTGCTACTTATTTTAACTGGGAAAGAATGTTAGTCATTATCTTCTAATTATGATACCTTGGGCTGTCCAGATAATCAGACTGTTGATGGTCTGTTTCCCTCACTTTTTGTACAAACAAACCCTTTACTGTCAGAACAAATATTATGGAAGTCCATATATTTTGATTGATTATTTCCTGCAAAAGTTCCTTATCTTTCTGTAGTTTGAGGTTTTGCTGGCTCCACTTTATTATTCTTCTTGCATTTGGGGAACTTTTAGGATACACCAGCAGTGTAATCTTTTTTTTTTTTTTTTTTTTTTCTTTTCCTTCCCCCCCATTGAGTTTGCTTGGTAGGTCAGGTGTTTGGGATAGGATGCATTGCTCCTCCCTAACTACAAAAAGTCAGGGAAAAAAGTTCTTTTGGATAAAAATAAATGAAATTATTTGCTGCAGCCTTTTGTTAATTGTAGCTTTTATTTAAATTATTTTAAAAAACAGCTATACAGGCTGAATATAATATATATATAATTCAGAAATCCCAACAGCATGAAAATGTTTTTTTTTTTCTTAAGAAATACTGCTAGTCAACCATCTTAAAAAAATTCTCCCTTTCTACTTGCTAGTAATAATGATGCGATACTGCAGCCTTCTCAAAGTTTGTTTAACAGACATCTATTTATTGCAAGATATCTGAAGCTTCTTAGGATTTCCAGAGTTTTAGAATAAGCCTGCTGGAGGTGAGGTAGTGGGTCAATTAGAAGCAAGAAGACTGAAGGGACATAGTGCATATAGTCTGTCAGATGGATATTATCTCTATTCATTAGATGGCCTTTGCCAGGATATATGTATTTTTTTTCTATTGTTAAGTCCAAGAATTTTCTGGGAAAGCTCTCTGTTGCTGAAAAGTCATGTTTCAAAATCTGCTTTCGTAAGAAAAGTAATTATTTGTCACAGACACTGGAAAACATGAACAAACTATAAATCAGTACATTCTTGTCATCTTGTATTATAGTGCAGTTTGAAATAAAGATTTGAGCTGACCTATTTATCTTTCTTAAACCATTAGTTTGGTTTGAGATTTAACAAAATCTGAAAGCTACATGTTCCTGTGATGCAACTTATTAAAAACAAAGATATTTCAGTACGGATTTTCAAAGCGACTTTGTCCAAATCTTGTTGAAATGAAATTTCAAAATATGACTGTTAGTTCTCCGGCAAGTACAAGTGTGTTATCATTCCACACAACATGAAGGAAAAAAAACCCAAAACCAAACACAGGAGTTTTCAGCCAGAATCTCTAGTTGCACCTAAAACACAGACAATTATAGTCATAATTTAAAAGCTTTCAACATATCAAAATAGTGAAAAGGTGAAGTTTAATATTACAGTTTTACTGACTGTGCTTCACTTCTTGGTATAGATCTCAGTTTCTTAGTTAACAAAAGTTCAGATGGGATGCAGAAACCAGAAGTCTTATTGTTTAGTTCCAGTTTGCAGCAAAGGGCTGTTGATTTTCATTTGATACACTTAGTGATCTGAATTACTTGTTGAACCTAACCCTTCCTTTTATTTTTTCCTTCTGTATTTCTTCACATTTAATGACAGTGTAATTTCATATTGCTTCAATCTGTTTTTCAGAAACTTGCCTTTTTTTTTTTAATTAGCGTGGATCCCCATTTTGTAATGCCAACACAATGTTGCTCAGCTGCAATATACTTATGACTTGAGCTCTGCTGTCATTACTGGCAGTTTCACTAATGGTCCATCCTTCTGAAGTGAAGGACTGGTCAGCAAGCAAATGGTATTTTTAATACCTGCCAAGTTAGCAGTATGCTGTCTTTCACTCTTAACCCATGCTGGTTTTAGTCTTGCTTCCCTTACCACACGTATGTCTTTTTATCGGTTAACATTTTATATTTGATATACTTGTTGTTTTTTTTTTCTCTTGAGAAAAGATATAGAAGAAATAACTGTTTTTTCTTTATATGCAGAGAAAGAGATGACTTGATGGATGCACTTGTTTCGCTGAGACGAAACATGAAAGAAATGCAACAAAGGGAATCTAATGCTTGTGAGCAAGTTAAACAAGCTGTGCAAATGGCAGAAGAGGCCAATTTAGAAAAAACAAAGGTAAATTCATAAAGAAATGAGAGCTTTTCAGTATTCAGATCTACTGCAAATGTTAATTAGTTTTCACGCTAATGAGAGAATACATGCATAAGACCTTTATCACATGTTGATATGATGTAGTAGATTTAAAAGGATTGCACTGTGTAACTGTTTCAGAGCAGTAACATGAACTCTGTATTTGAGACCAGCTGGGTTAGCTCAGTTGGTTAGAGCATGGTGCTAATAATGCCAAGTTCACAGGTTCAATCCCTGCTTACTGCAGGGGGGTTGGGCTCGATGATCTCTCAAGGTCCCTTCCAACCCAAAGCATTCTATGATTCTATGAGTTCTTAAATCTCATCAAGGCTGTAGGGTGTGTTGCATTCTTAGGCCATTATTTAAATTCTGACGTAGTTTCCCAGCTAGGTGATAGAACTTGAATGGTAGAATTTTCAAAGGCATTCATGACATGTAGGAGGATAATTCTCACATCACATTTCTGAGCTACTCTGGAAAGAATACTGAAAATGCTTACAAACAACTCTTTTGCTTCAGAGGAGAACAGTGCAAGAACTGATCAGCTAACAGAACTCTTTGAAGATGAGAAGTCCTGTCTGATGCTACCTACAGGAAGTTTTTGGTGCTATGTAAATAATAATGATAAAACCAATTTTGATCTAATGCTTATGTTAGCCCTAGTTACTGTGTACAGTCAACTGATATTGACCTAAATTATTTCCTTGATACTTAGTGACATCTACTGTATTGTTAGTGAATTACTATGGAATTGAGAGAGGGTTGTTTTTTTTTTTTAAATGAAATGCCGTTAGGTTTAGTAGTGGAAAAGATTGATATAGTTGTTCTACTGATGAGATTGGTGTTATTCATCCAATTGGTATTATTCATCCAATGCTGTAAGACAGAGTGTGTGTGTGTGTGTGTGTGTGTGTGTAGGGTCTTTAACTACAAACAGTGGGGGGAAAAAAAATAATGAGAGTTGGAAATCCTATGTACTTGTTAAATTTAACTTCAGAGTATTATAGCTCCTTGGTTTTTACTGAACAAAGAGAAAGAATCCTTCTTTCTGTTGAGCCTGCTGTTCACCTGTCACATCCTGTCCCTGAGGTGTTAAATTTTTAAATTGCTTACTTGTTTACTTTTTTGGGGATGGGTTCTACAGTTGTCTGACAGAAATGTTATTCACTTACTGCTATTTAAAACTGCACAAAATACTCTTCCTCTATGCAATAAAGTGAAGTTACCTGGTCTTCCTCTTTTTTCATTTGGTGTATTTTAATATTTAAAAAGAAAATCCCAATAAAGTCTTATTCAGTGTAGCTCATATTAGAAGAGTGGCCTAAGACTAAAACTTCGTAAGATGAATTAGTAGAACCTTTAATAAAATGGGTCTTGGTACCTATACTATTTCTGCCACATGAAGAAAGCAGCTCTGTAGGGTCTCTAGTGGCCATCATCTTCACTGCAGCAAGGAAATGTAAAGTGCTGTGTATTTGTATACAACACTGAATAGTAGTCTGTTTTTCTATGCTCAAAAACTGTTGTAATACGAAGGAACAGGAAAAAAGATTTTTACATATGCTGCACTAATTTTGCATTTTTACATGTACTGGTATTTCTCTTGGCAAGTACAAACCATCTTCCCAGTCCTATTCTACTCTTAAGGTGAAGTGCTGTTTTTCTTTGTAATTCTCATGGAATCCAATAGAATAGTCCACATAAGAAGAGTGAGGAGTTAGCATTTGCAAACCCAATGTGTTTTAATTGCAATTCCATCACCCTGCTGAGAGAAAGTCTGAACTCAGGTGCTTATCACTTAAAACCACCATTCTTTCTTGTCTTTTGGTTGTCTCTGTAGTTTGTGGCCTCTTGCCTATTACATAGAGTAAGGAGGAGATCTGGTAAGGTTAAACTTCCATAGTTGAAGCAAATCCAGGAATGTAGTTTCAACATAAATGTCATATAAGAATAATTGTTTGAACTGCTAATTATGTAGCCAAAACAGTGGAGCTAACAAAATACACATTTCTTCTTGGAACTTATTTCTTCTAGAGTTGCGTTGTTTTGCATGTCTACCAAACCACACTGGTCTTATACAGACAATTGTTTGCTGATGCTGATGATAAATTCCAACAGGAAAGGATTCAAGGCAACAACAGAGGGATTCCCTCACCAAGATAGACTTGTGCTAGGAAAGAGGTGCTGAGGAGGGTCCTGCAGAATTGACATAAACTAATGGAGGCTGTTAGAGCATTCTCTAAAAATTATGTTTTAATTTGCTTTTCTCATGAATAACCCAACACCAAAGAAATTGCATATAGGGCATTGGCTTTGAGTAAAAGAAAAATAAGCACTTTTAAAAAAACTAATTTGAAAACAAAGGGTAATAAGGTAGGATTCCTAAAAGGAGGTTACTTTAGCTTCCTTGAAATAGGATATGGTGAATATCAGTGAAATGATGAAATGAAATCTAGTTTACTAATGGGCTAGCAAGCTGCCTTTAGGGTGCTTTGAATACTTTGATTTACTTTTAATGGAGCGATGTATTTCTGATTTAAACTGACATAACACTTAACTCCTGTCCCTTTGGCAGGGATACAGGGGCATAAATTGATAGAATTTTTTCTTCCCCTAGCTTTTTTAGAAGATAGCGTCTACTGTGCTTCTTGCATATGAACTTACGTTTCTTCTATTTTGATAGCAAACACATAACCTGTGTTTTAGCAGTTCAAATTAAGCAGGGCATTTATGAATTTTCAGTAGAATTCATCTTCTCTATTTGACAAACCTGAAACTAAAAAAAAAAAAAAGTTGTTTCTTTGTATCTTTAGTTCTTTCAGGTTTCTTCTTAGCCTTCTGCACTCAGTAATTCACTTCAAGGGGAGAACAAGTGGAAGTGCATACATTATTTATTTATTTTTCTTTCAGCTATGCAGTTAGGCAGTAACCACAATGTTTGCAAGGAGTCAAATATTGGAGGCTGATTCTATGTGTACATAGGAGGCTGCTGTGATGTACATTCAGGAATTTTAAATGCAAGCCAAATAATCACCTTAGTTTTAGATAAACAGCTACTTATTTGGAAAATGTACTATGAAAAATGCTTCCATCTTTGCCATGACTTCTAAAAGCAATTAGATTTATAAATTACAGTAAGGTGTGTCTATACATACAAACATATACATCTGTTTTCAATTTGTTAGTCCTATTCTAGATGTTAACACAGTAAGGTATGTCATAGAACACTCTGGGTTGGAAGGGACCTTTAGAGGTCATCTAGCCCAATCCCCCTGCAGTGAGCAGGGACAGCTTTAACCAGATCAGGTTGCTCAGAGCCCCATCCAACCTGACTTTGAATGTTGCCAGGGATGGGGCCTCCACTACCTCTCTGGGCAACCTGTTCCAGTGCCTCACCACCCTCATTGTAAAAAATTTCTTCATTATATCCAGTCTAAATCTATTCTTCTTGAGTTTAAATCCATTATTCCTTGTCCTGTCACAACAGGCCTTGCTAAAAAGATTGTCCCCATCCTTCCTGTAGGCCCCCTTTAAGTATTGGAAGGCCGCAATAAGGTCTCCTCGCAGCCTTCTCTTCTCCAGGCTGAACAACCCCAACTCTCAGCCTGGTCTCGTAGGAGAGGTGCTCCAGCCCTCGGATCATTTTTGTGGCCCTCCTCTGGACCCGCTCCAACAGGTCCATGTCTTTCTTGTGCTGAGGGCTCCAGAGCTGGATGCAGTGCTCCAGTTGGGGTCTCACCAGAGTAGAGAAGAGAGGCAGAATCACCTCCCTCGACCTGCTGACCACGCTTCTTTTGAATAAACGCTGCTTCTTTTGTATAAACATCACACTTCTTTTGTATAAACATCATAATAACTATGGAAAAAATCGAAAGATGTCCTTTCTAATAGTAAATTGCTTTCTCTGAAGGCATTAGATAAATACCATGTTTCTTTAAAATTTTAGGTTTCTTCCACTCAAATATTTCTGTTTCTTAGGCTCTAGTCCAGTGTGAGCAGCTGAAAAGTGAGATGGAACGGCAGAAGAATCGTCTTGAAAGGGAGTTAGCTGCCCAGCTAAATAAAAGGACTGATGAAAAAGAAGCGCTGCGGGAAGAAATGAAGAAGGAAAGAGAGGACTTGGCAGCAATGGTATGAGTTGGGTTTTTTTCTATTTGTGTCTTACAATGAGCGTATAGTCCTCTTTAAACTTTCTGTTTGCTTGTCTTTCATTTTGTTTCAGTTTTGGATCTGAGAGCTCAAGTAAATCACTTCCACCATTGCTTTAAAGCAGTGGCAGGTGTCTTAAAGTGATCCTTTCAGTCTGAATAACGGAGTTTTATGCTGTGTCACTAGATACATACTAAGTTGTTGATGTTAGGCACTTCATTTTAATTTGCATATTTTCTAATGCGCTTTCTCAAAGTAGGAAAGGGTTAAGCAATATGTGATGCAAGGTTTGTACCTAGCTTCTTATAAAGATTATTATTTAGGTTGCCAAGTCAAGCATTCAGAAGTTTGCACATGTCAAAATTAGGATTCTTTGCTACTTTGAGCTCATGTATATGTATATAATAATGTTACAGTGTCACATATATATTAGTTACAGTATCATAATTGCATTTTAATATGCAAGCATTCAGAAGTTTGCACATGTCAAAATTAGGATTCTTTGCTACTTTGAGCTCATGTATATGTATATAATAATGTTAGTGTCACATATATATTAGTTACAGTATCATAATTGCATTTAATATGGTATTTTTCAGAGTGATCTTATCATATGCTCAATGTGCTCACCTGCAGAAATGTGTTGGAATCTCTTTTTCCATTTTTGCTGATGTTTATAAACTCTTTGAGACAGAATCTGTCTTATCATTTATACTGTGACCATCACAACAGAGCCCTGATAACCTTGTTCTACACTTCTAGATGCTAGTGTAATTTGAGTATAAGACATAAGGGTTTTCTGCCTGATGGAATCTACAGAGGAAACCTCATGCACAGACTGAACAGGCTAAACTATTTAAGTGTTTAAAAAAGAGGAGGTTCTTCAGTAGTGCTGTTGCTTGTGAAATGGCTGGAAAGCTACTAGCCTAGACAGGGGACCGTGGTGATATGGTTGTATTTCTGGTCTTATGAGATGGTAGAATGAAGTTCTGAAGCTGCTACAGGAATTCAAAACCTTTGAGTCCAGTTCCAGATGTTAAAACAGGAAATAAGTGCAGTGATAGGGATTAAGTGATATTTAAGAAAGTGAACTGTTGTAAGTTGATCATCAGAAATCTGTTGCCAGGGCAAACTGAAATAAAAAATTTAACCTTATACTGGAGACAGTGAAACATTATTTAGCGACTCCTAGTTTGAGTCTTTGCTATCTATTGGAAGTTATCCTTGTTATGCATTTAGTTGTTTAGTTACAGATTTGCTTTAGAGCAGAGTATGCACTCCAAAATACAGCCTATTAGACAAGCATTTCATACCTTTTGCTAGTAGAATAATTCACTCCTTATTGTCACCACATCACATAGTATTTCATCACCCACTGAGATGTTTTACTGGAACTGATTCCCACTTTGAGCAGTTGTAGTCCTTTTTTAAATCCTACATACACATTAAACAACATACAGTGACAATATGATTATGTTATGCTTGGTAATTAAAGATATGGGATGACTTTGTAGAAAACTATAATCTATATGTGTGATTTACATCTACATGTGATTAACTACTATTATGTTTCAGGAAAATGAAATGGTAGAACTGGTATACTGTGCATCAAGTCAACCTCCATATGAATATTTTAATGCTTACTTTATGAAGTGATTTGTTTTGAAGGGGAGAATTGGCATGATCCATAAATCAGGTGGATGTATAACGAGTAAAAAATAGTTATGAATATATAATTCTCTAGGTTTGGCTTTGAATTCCTGTAAGTTAACCTAGAACTGTCAGACACCATTATTTCCACTTATATTAGTAAGCTTCTGGGCTAAATAGCTGAAGGGTCACTGTCTCTCTTTTATTGTTACATTTTTTTTACCATTCAGCAAATTTTGATCTGAATTACATTTGAATTTTTAACATACTATTCCAATATGATTTTTGTACAGCATCATGCTTTGATCTATAGTGCTGACATGTTTTCTGAACCTGAAAATTAATTTATGATCTGTGGTTGCAATGACAATTTTCTTTACGTGGGAGAACGTGATTTGGTTTAAATCAATCTACATAAAGGATGGATAAGAAGGTGTTAAATAGTACTCTTACAGCTGCAAGACTAATGCAACCAGCTGCTTCTGACACTTTGTCCATACTAACAAGTCCTGGAGACTAGTCCAGTTAATGAAAAGTTTCAAATAAACTGCTGTATGATAAATTAATTCAACATAGTGAAGCTATTGTTAAAATAATTTAGCCATATTCTGCTATATTTTAATTTATATTTTTATTATATTTTTATTG